ACTGTCAGTATATATATATATATATATATACGGTATATATATATATATATATATATATATATATATATATATATATATATATATATATATATATATAGAATATATTGGATATATTATATTATATTATATTGGATTGGCCTGGGACTCTTTTTATAATAGTATACATTGCCATAATATTGTATTAACAGACTGGATTATTTCTAACAATCCCCTAAATGACTATTTGCAAGGCAATCCACACAAATTTGCTTCTCCTGTCGGAGTAAACCATTATGAACATTTTTTGCTTTTGAATGTCCAAATGAAGCCTTCATATTCACATTGTCTCTTCATTTAATTAAAATGTCCCACTTTGATCCAGAGTATGTTCTCTGAGGCAACTCCAGCAGCATCCTCATGGCTCAGTGATCCCCGCCTCCTCCTCCTCATCATCACAGTATTCCTCCCTCCACGTTCCCTTTTTCGTACATCCATATTCATCAGGTTCTGTTTCAGGAAGCGGCTCGGCCAGTCGGATGCTCTGCTGGAATGCCTGGAAGAGAGGACATCCTCGCTGTCCACTGCTGAGAGAGAGAGACAGAGACAAAGAGAGAGAGAGAGGGAGAGAGAGAGAGAGAGAGAGAGAGAGAGAGAGAGAGAGAGAGAGACGTGCTGCGTATAGGAGGTGGAGGAGAGAAGAAGAGGGTGGCAGTACAGAGAGGAGCAGACATGGCTTCTAAAGGGATCTCAGCCTTTGGTTCTGTCAATATGACCAAGGACATGACAGGTGGGTCCTCTCCGTCGTTTGGCCCTTCATCCGGCTCAGGATGCGGTTTCTCGATTCGGCGTCTAAAACCCAGCAGATTCATCTGATGCTCGTCAAGTGCTACATCTTCGTGCTTTGTCCCGAAGCTTTCCGGGGCGGCGGTTTGATTATCAGGACAGGATAAGTAATTGATGCGAAGGCGGATCAATCCCAATCTGGAGAGAGACGCTGCCTTTCTTTAAGTGCGCCCTTTTACGGGATGAGGGCAATAAAAATAAATAAAAGCAAACCTTAGGCCAGAAAGGGAAAGGTGCGTTGTGGAAGTCGTGGTTTTGCACTCATGGCTGTTGTTGCGTGTCATGCATGTCTTGACTGATGCATTTTTAATCAGACTGCCATTTTAACCTAATGCCCCTTTTTCCTCGACAGATGGTATTTATATTTTGCGAGCCGTTTTGTCTTTGTTTCGTGCATGCAAGTTACAGAAGGGGTCTGACAAAGCTGAAGCTCACCGTATCTCTCCAAAAAAAAAAAAAAACGTGTACCACGTGTACCCTGGACAATTCAAGCAGCCACACACAATGCACAAATAGGTATTTCTGTCTCCAACAAACAGCAACAGCTTTCATCTGTCAAAGTCTCAGCTGTGCTCGGATTGCGAACGCACGCACATTCTGCACACATGCCCCGGGTAGCAGGGACTCTGCTGTTGAGTTAATTACTTATAATGGCTCTATTAGGCGCTTTGTGATTATTAATCTAGTGGAATCCCCGCTCCTGCGTTCAGTCACCTGTCGGGCAGCGCCGCCCTCTGAAGCCCCGCCAGCACACTCTGCCTGGAGGAGCACCTGGTGGCCTCCAGGTCTGCATAGGTCACTGGGAAGCAGCTTTAGTTACAAATATGGATGGACGGTTTGCACTTATAGGTGCTGTGATGAGAGAGCAGGGTATGTATTTAAGTGCTGCAACGATTCCATTTTGTGGAAATGCAATAAATTAATTATTGAATCATATGGGCTAGTATTTTATTTTAATGTACTATTAGCACTCTGGGAAAATATCTCTATATCCTTAAATTATATCATTTCACACTGGATAGCCCAAATTTGAGTAAGGTCCATTTACTTTTGTTTTGGATGCATTTAGACAGATGGAGGGAAATAAATTCCCATTAAGAAACAGTTTTTGTAACAGTTAGAGTAATTGTTATATTGAAACTATTTCCCAGATTTTTTTCCTATCAGTGCATAACAGTTAAAACATTGGATTTATTTATTGCTAGATTATCTGAGTGCAAAATAATAAAAAAATATATATATATTTTCTTAGATCTTAACCAAAATTGCCAACAAATATATTTATATCTGTGAATATGTCTACATTTTAGACAGTACATGTATATATAGAGGGCAGTATTTTTAGAAGGAAAAGGATAAAGATCCTATGAAAAACAAAAACAATTAATCTGCACCTGAAAGTCTTTTTTTCAGGTCTGTGTTAGTCTATAAACTTCAGAGCCAAGCCCTAGTGCCTCCAGCTTTGCTATTGATTTCCTCATAAACTTGTCAGTTGGCATGCTGAGAGGGGTAATGTAATTGAGACCCTGAATTATGTAATTCTTGCCAGTGAATGTGTGCCTCTGTGACAGCATGTGACTCCTGTGTGCTCGCACCACCCAGTAATCAAAGTTATAACATATATAGTGATGAACTAACATGTCTTGTTTTTTTCTTTGAGGAAGAAATAAATTTGAAGCAGAGCATTCAGAAATATATATTTTTTTAAATTATGTCAAAGATACATCAGCATTTTTGGAGAACTGTTGGATTATGCTTCAAAACCAGAGCAAGTCCAAGGTATAATACTTGAAACGATATTTGGGGAGACCAGAGCACACCTTAAATGTGTTTCACCTGCAGGTTAAATATAGAACTTACAGACTGTTGTGCTCCAAAAACATTAATAAAAAAATAAAATCTAGTTTAAGTAAAGCTATAACAGTCTAACTTTGTGTCACAATTTGTTTGTGGGTTGAGGACCCAAAAGCAGAGGCAGGCAGGCAGAGGTGAATTAAGGGTTGATTTTATGAAGAGTCACTGAAAAAACTAAGTCCAAACAAACAGACAACCAAGAATCCAAAATCTAAAAATGAAAACAAAGTCCAAACAAGAAACCAGGAGTCCAAAATTCAAAACATGAAATAAAAAAACAAAACAGGAGCTAGAGAAAAAGGAGGGCAGCAGAGGGCAACAAATGAAAAACCTGGAAGACTGACAATAATTAGAAAATACAACAAAATAATAATTAAACCACTAAGACTAAAAAACATGGAGAAAAGTAAAACTAAACACTCAAAAGAAAACATAACAAAACCAAGACTGAAACAGTAACTAGGAATAAACTAGAGAACACAGCAAAATAAAAATAAAACCACTAACACCAGAAATCAAGGAGCAAAGCAAAACTGAACACTAAAAAGAAAATAAAAAAGAACCAAGACTCGAACAGTAACAGAGAAAAAAACCAAAGAACACAATAAACTAAGAATTAAACCATTAAAAACTAAAAAACAAAGAGAAAGTAAAAACATCAAAGAAACATCAAAGAAAACAGAAACCTAACACTTTGCTTTGGCTAGAAACTCAATTGACCAACCAGTAAACATGCAAAGCAGAGGAGCCTGAGGACCAGGGTTGGGAACTCCTCTAATAGATAAATGGTTCTTGTCCTCATGTACCACTGCTCTGCTTTGTTTGTGACTGCTTGCAGGGGCGGATTTACCATTAGGCAGAATAAGGCAGTTGCCTTGGGCCCCACGTTCCTAGGGGGCCCCATAAAACTTATGTTACGTGTATGGTTAATACAGCTAGTACTTATTATGTTTTTAATAGAAATCCTTTTGTTAAAATTTCATCAGAATTCCCTACCCCCAACCCCTTTGGTGAATGGTACAAACAGACAGTAGTAAACTGTTAGCACTTTTCTTTCAGAAAACTCCTAGCACCAAATCTAACGTCTTTTTTCTGGTACTGGAGGCTTTGGTGACAACATATAAAAGCACTGAACGATGCTCTTCTGAACAAATAGCTTTATAACCCACCTCTTGCTCCCCTCTCTCTTGTGTGCCGTCATGATTCATGTAGCTATTATTTCATTCAAATGAAAAGTGGAGAACAGATAAGCCAATCATGGCTTGTACAGTGAAAATAAAGACTTTGTTATTTACTTTTGCTGTCGCCTTTTTGGAAACACAGGAAGGAGCAATCAGCTGAGTTAGAATGGGCTTAGTGATTGGAAAATCTTTCATTCCGTTTTAGACAGCATCAAAAGTCAACTGAGCACATTGCCAATATGAAAATAAAAAGGGACAAAACAAAGCATAAAGGGGATAACAACAAGAAAAGGGATAAGAAGAGAGGAAAAAAAGGTTGAACAAATCATGTATGTATATTCTATTAACATTTCTGTCTGTATTAGGGTCCGTTTTATGTGTTGTCTTCTCAATTCGGAGGGCCCCATGCCTGTTCTTGCCTAGGGGCCCAAATTTTTCCTAAATCTGTCCTTGATTGCATTAATTTCTCAGTGGCCATTAAGTGCTGTGTTGACCATTCCCCTCCATCTCCGATGTGTGGCAGCAATATGACACTTAAAGCATTGCAGGACAGTGGTACAGACCAGGACTATGAACCACTGCTCTACAGTAGTTTATACATATAGAGTGACCACTGAGAAAATCTGTCCCCGCTGCCAATACGAAAAGCAAATATAAAATGCAAATGACAGAATGTCTGATTAACTTTTTTTTTGTTTTTACTAATATAAATATTTAATTATTACTCAAATGTTAAACATTTAAAGGACCTCTGAATCTTTGCATCTTCTCTTGCTTAAAAGAGATTTGAATCGACTAAAATATATATCTTAAAAACTTTATAAAAAAAACTTTTAAAAAGTGATGATCCACTTTCTGCTGTTCTGTTAAGGGCCTCATATAACCTTGTAACTGACCATGAATACAGCCTACATCTGTCTGCCAAACAGTTGTCTGTTCGATTTCTATAGCTTTGTAACATATTCATATTCTATCTGTATAATGGTTTATTGTGTTACCTGAAATACCATGAGAGGCTCAGTTTAGTGTTTAGCTTGATAGAAGCCTTAGTTATAAGATGAAGATGTGAGTGCAGGTCTGACCTTTCATTTCACTGTCTAGTTTAATTAAATTTATCTCATGAGATCACATTTTCCCTTTACGTGTATTTAGTCCAATTCTTCCACCTATCAGTCTGCAAATCTTTAGTTTTCTAAATGTTATTTTGGAATTGCATTCCAGTGGGCTGTCCAGCTAAACTAGAATATGTGCAGAAAACAGTTTATTCAAATAATACTGCACACTAAACATTATGTCTCATTTTCTGTGTCAAAAAAAAATACCCCTGAAGTTTCTTACAGTGTATAAAATATGTCATTATCAAATAAAAATGTGATTTACTAAACAGAAATGAAGACATAATTTGCTCTGTGATAAATTATCTTGAAAAGATTGAATTACTTATTCTTTTTATTGTAGTGCTTTGAAAGACTTCAGGTCATTGAACTGTTTCTCATTTGGTTTCAAAAATAATGTTCTTGGTATTTTTATGGGGCTTTGTCATGATTGGTTTAGGAATCACACCCACATGCAGAACACCTCTTGGAGACTGAATAAAAAGTTCAACAGAGTTTATTAAAGGTTTGCACAAGTAAACATGAACTGGATTCAGGAAACAGGTCAGGGCAGGATTCTCAGGCGTCTGCAGAGACGGATAGTTTGATTAGCCAGGTTAACTGATGAGTTGTTGAGTTTTCTGATATTTCTGAAAATACCTTGACAAGGTTCAGGCTTTCTTCTCTGAGAGAGGGAACCGGTTGGGTCCAGAGACTGTTGGTTCAGCAGAGTGCTCAGCAGCAGCAGCGTCTAGCTTCTGACTGTTTAGTGTCAGACCTTGGTTTGAGTGATAAGCTCTTTCCCCGAGAGCAGC